CTAGGTGTCAAGTGTCTGATATGGTTACTTGATTTGTTTTCAAGAATCCATGTAACACAGACATTTTTGATAAATTTTAAATTACAACTTCAGAAGTAAAATAACAAGTCCTTATAAAATTAAGATGTTCATCACACAAATAAAATTATATTTATTTAATGATTACAAATGTTGTTACTTTCTAATTTATACAAAATTAATCCAAAATTAATAAAGCTGTTTTTTGACCTAAAATTTAGCTGAATTACATTTAATGTGCACAAGAGCATGATCTTAATCATAATAAGTAATGTAAAAAGCATAGCATAAGAGGATGATGTTAATTTTTTCATAAGTTGTAAGATGTATTTCTTAAAAAGCTAAAAAATCTAAACCATTATCATTATTTTAACTCATATCTTAATTAAAAAATCAATAATGAATGTTGGATTATAATTGATGATTACTTAAATAAAGTTTTTGCATCACAAGTAATTGTAATTGAATGAGTATAATTTCATATAATTCTTTTACAAGTACAAGGAGATATAAGTATATTGTTGCTATTTTAATGTTTTTTGTCTTAATTGAAGCAAGTATATGGAGACTGTTCCAATTATTTTCTACTGGGGGGGAAACATAATTCGAGATCCCGATAAAGGCGTATCATATGATGCTGAGCCGAAAGGGATATATGCGGTGCAAATTGGCACCACGCTTACCAATTTGGAGGAGATGTTTACGTCAAAGGTGGCAAGTTACGGAGAAAGTGTCCGATTGACCTTCAAATGTAGATATCCTTATCGCCAGTGGCAAGCACACAGCAAATACAAGATATTACTGATCAATGACGATGAGGCGTTGAACACCGTATTAAGTATCGGTGCAAGTTTTCAAGCACCAAATTGTTTGGAAGTCTACATTGATAAAGAGATTGTACACAATATCCCGAACATGACACATATGGATTCCCGTCCGTTCACTACATTGCTGACGCATGGGATTGACACAACAGCGTTTCAGTCTCCTATGTATGAATCAGATCAATGTTATCCATTGGGCTACACACAACAGTCATTTCAGGGCCATGGTGTAGAATCAAGTTCACGTGGTGGATATGGTTATGAATTTGACAGTAACACACAAGATGTGCCGACATGCAGCCATCATACCACTCCGGTTGAACTTACTGGTAATATGGCTGAAACAGTGAACGAGGTGCAGTTTGCTGACAGTGACATGTACGGTCTTGATGTCGCCCTAAACGATGATGACAATGAAATGTGTGAGGAAGAAAATGTATTGGGCGGATCAGATGATGATGATGATGAAGAATATGATGCCCAGGCTCCCGTTCAACCTGAAAATGCCCCCATTCCACCTAGAGTTGAAATCCCTTTCTATGACAACATTCACATGGGTGGTGATTTTGAGATTAGTACCCGTGATGTCGTTCCCCGTAACCGGATCTGGAGTGCTGAAAATCCAGAGTTGGACAGAGGAATGGCTTTTGTTGATAAGAAGCAACTTCTATATGCTGTGAAATTGTACCATGCAACAAATAATCGAGAGTATAAGGTCGTAACCTCCAAGCGAGACCTTTGGGTGTCGGCTTGCAAGCACGACCAGTTGGTGGTTGCGTGCATCTCTTAGTAGGAAACATGGTCTGTTTGAAATAAAGCAGTACAGGGGTCCTCACCATTGTTTATACCCACGAATGAACAGGGACCACACTAATATTAGCTCCAGTTACATTGCTTCTCATATTTTGGGACAAGTTGCGGTTAGTATAAAAAATAAATGTTTACATATACATACATATTTGTTTGTTTATAGTGTTCACATCTAGATAATCCAACTCATATTTGATTGTCGTATGCAGAATGAACCTGATATGCCAATTAAGAATGTCATCGAAGATATAAAAAACACCATGAACTATAATATATCATACAAGAAGGCGTGGCATGCAAGGGCAAAGGCAATTAAAATGGTATTCGGTGATTGGGATGAATCATACAGGTAATTGCCTAAATTCATGCATGCATTATAGACATCTAATCCTGGCACCATCGTGACATGGAAGCATAGATATACCGGGTATGCAACCATTATACCCGTCTTCCACTTTGTTTTATGGTCTTTCAAACTCGTCATCGATGGCTTTAGATATTGTAGGCCTGTTATAATTATAGATGGTACATTCTTATACGGTAAATACACTGGTGTGTTACTTGTAGCAACGATTGTCACTGCCAATGGCAAAATATTACCGCTTGCATTCCCTATTGTCGACAGGGAGAGTTTGGAGTCTTGGTCGTTCTTCATTCAAAATATCAAGGAACATATTGTCATGGACCCACAGGGAGTGACTTTGATATCTGATCGAGCTGAGAGTATTTTAGCTGATGTGAGGCGGCATTGGCTGAATCCCTCGCTCCAATTTGTTGGATATCATCGGCACTGCCTTCGACATGTTTACAGTAACTTTAACACACATTTCAGAAATAAGGAGCTCAAACAACTTCTGTGGAAAGCAGGGAGTGCTGATCAACGACGAAAGTGTAATGGTTACTTAGATCAGATACAGGCTATTAACCAAGAAGCCATCGATTGGGTCCACAAGATGAATCCTGAGGACTGGGCCCTTGCATATGACGGTGGATATCACTGGGGGGTATTGACCAGTAATGATGCAGAGTGCTTCAACAGCGTCTTGAAAGGTGCAAGGAACTTACCTATTTCAGCTATGGTTGAATTCACATTTCAACACAGCTCATTGGACATTGTTCATTTACTATATTGGCTTCCGCCAGGACCTGTACTCTGTTTTACTGGTTTACTGTTAGGTAGGCCTTCGGTAATCTCGGATTACTGGCCGGTTACGGTGCTAAACCCATAGGGCCGGGTTTGGGTCATGACAGGAGGGTATCGCAAGGGGAAATACTTTCAAGTTGATATCGTATGACAAGTTAGTTTGTAATGTGAAAAAATTGTTATTATTATGTTGTTAAGTTAAGTACATCTAAAAACATGAACTTGATTAGTTTGTTTCAATATTATCTTATAGGCCCCGCCGTGTATTTGAGGTGCAAACATCTTTTTGCCGTGGACGAGGTCGTAATAGACAGATTGTGCGGATGAATCAACCTACGTGCAGTTGTGGGAAATATGAGATAAGACACTATCCATGTTCCCATATGCTCATGTCTGAATGCGGATGAATCAACCCACGTGCAGTTGTGGGAAATATGAGATACGACACTATCCATGTTCTCATATGCTCGCTGTAATGTCTGAATGCGGTGACAATCCATTCCAGTACATTGATCTAGTATATAGGCTTCCTGTATACATGAGGGTTTGGGAAACTAAATTCAACCCAATACCGCATGAAGATTATTGGGATGATCCGCAGTGGACCTTAATGCCTAATGACCTTCGTCTGCGAGAAGTAAAACGGGGTCGTACATCTATGGCTCGTATTCCGATTGAGATGGATATATCAGACAGGCGTTTGACAGCTCGTTGTAGTGAGTGCCACCAGACAGGTCATGACAGGTGAACATGTCCGGCGCGACTTGGTCGATGAAGACTATGTAATACTTACATATTGTAATATATCATTTTGAAATTCTTTATTTGTAATAGATCATTTAATTATGTATTTCTAAATTCTTTATTTGTAGACGGGGTCGTACATTTGAAGTGTGTATTACAAAATGTGTACTTGAGTCAAAAATGTGTAATGCAAAATTGAAAATGTGTACAATTTATTCAAACTTTTATAATTTATTGAAAATGTGTACTAGTTTTTTACGGAGTACTTGATTCAAAATGTGTATTACAATATTCTATACTTAATCACGTAGTTCTTCTACCATTTCAAAATTTCATATTTTTTAATAAATTAAATATCGAATGCTGCAATCATTGTTCATATTTTATAATTTAAAAAATTTACAAATTTTAAAAAAATTAACCTATTATAAATTAAAATTTTAAAAATTGGAATGTTGCGGTCATTGTTCACAATTACAAAATTTTATATGTATTTTGCAAAATTTATAATTTATTCAAACTTTTAGCATTACAAAATAAATATTTCAGTTTTGTCAAATATGCCATAAATGTAATCATTAATTTCGAATTGCTTCCGTGTAAGTGGCACATAAATTTGTCTTTTTCTCGAACCCATAACATTTACCTCATTGTATTTTACATCGTTCAGTACAAAATCAATAATTACAGTTTTCTCTGTTATTATGTTATGATTAAATGAGCTTTTGATATGGATCAATAATTTCAGTTGCACAGGCTTCATGGCACATGTACCTGAGGAGGTTCCACTGTTGAGACAGGCACATCGCGCTGACAGTATGTGGGACCGTCCGGTATGCAATAACGTTTGTTGCACTTTACAGCTACAATTAAAATACATTGCATTTTGTTGTATATTTCGGGATAATGTTATTATTTGAACTGGTAATTCTATTGTGCAGGATGAGGCACGCACCGTGTTGACATGCCGTCGGGCAGATTCTGGATTGTGGGAGCATCCGTTGGACCATAGAGTCTTGCAGTATCTATTACGCGCGGGATTCTATGATGTGTATCATATCGGGCACATTCGACTGGACCACGCACTCATCACTGCTCTCGTTGAGAGGTGGCGCACAGAGACTCATACATTCCATTTCCCGATCGAGGAGGCCACCGTCACGTTGCAGGATGTATTCGTCCTATATGGTCTTCGGATTGATGGCCGAGCAGTTACTGGAGTTGACTCTTCTGTCGCGACGGGGCAGTGGATAGCCCTATGTGCTGAGCTATTGGGAGTAGCACCTACACCAGCAGATTTACAGCCAGGTAGAGTGAGGGTGAGGTGGCTGGCCAAGCACTTTGCTCATCTTCCAGATCATGCTTCAGATGAGTTGGTACAGCAGCATACCCGAGCATATATTCTATGGCTTATTGGGGGGGTACTCCTCCCTGATAAGTCATAGAACCTGGTCAAGCTGATGTACTTGCCATTGCTGAGAGACATTGAGGAGATTGGGCAGTACAGTTGGGGTAGCGCGACTCTGGCATGGTTGTATAGGATGCTATGTCGAGCAGCTCAGGTGGGTACGAGGGAGATTGGAGGACCACTTGTGTTGCTACAGGTTAGTAACAATTTTATTACATGTCAATTCATATTTATAGCCATATATCAGTACTGTAATTGTGTTCAAACTATTGCAGATTTGGGCATGGGAGAGATTGATTCGCATTGCCCCGTCTAGGCGGCAACCGGTTGGTCCTGGTGAGCTTCCTATGGGTGAGGGGGACATGCAGTTGCCCACCGGACCGCGAGCTAGCCGGTGGAGGGTTGACATGGGCCACGAGGTCGTCTCGACCTACGTAGTGGTAGTTTATAGGGACCAGCTGGACCGCATGATCGAGGGCGAGGTATGAACTTTTTTTATTGCGTTTTAGTTGTCTTCTTCATTGTATATGTTTTGAGTTCACGAGCAAAATTTAAATTATTTGTCGTCATTGTAGTTTATCTGGCAGCCTTACGCTGGGGTCCTCGATACGCTCCCCGACTACTGCCGACTGGGTCAGGAGATATGGATGGCGAGAGTGCCACTTATTTGTTTTGACGTGGTGGAGTGGCATCTCCCCCATCGTGTCCTCCGACAGTTTGGTCGGGTGCAGTTCGTGCCGGATCGGTTCGACACTGAGTGGCAGTTGTACGTCACTAATAGGCGTGACCGAGCTGGCACTGACTGGCGTCTGTTTTATATGCGATATATACAGTTGTGGGATGCCCGCCGGGACAGTATTGTACAGGCTGACTACAGCGATGACGTGATCCCTTCTTCCGACCCTTACATGTTGTGGTGTCGGCGACATACACACCTACTAGTCGGGAATCCGAGCCACGTGTCTGAGTCTGGATATCAGGGAGTTGGCCCTTATCTTGAGGCATTGGTGAGTATCATATTATGTGTCAGATAATTATTAAAATCATACTCGATTTACTTTCAGTGAACTGTAGCCTAATAATACGTCTGAATGTTTGTTCAGGTGGCTGGAGCTGGGAGGTCGTTTCACTTGGCTGAGGACGCCCATTTGAGACGTGATGCACAACATGCCTTGGAGGCCATTGCAGAGATCTGGGAGTTATTGTACCAGGCATTCCAGCTTGCCCATCGGGGAGATCGTTTGCATTTCGGCCACTACGGTGTACACACTTCAGCAGCTGCTCCAAACACATCAGCGCCGTCCACGTCAACGCCTTCCACTTCAGCGCCTGCTACATCAGCTCCTTCCACACTGCCTTCGACCCCACCACATACTACCCCATACATATCTACAGATTCCCTCAACGTACTTCTTACGCAGCATACTGGCATACCTTATGTGCCTGACCCTGATCGGACACCGCCCCGATACATGCATGACGTTGTTACCCCACCCACCCAGTTACCACCACCAGACAGTTCGACCGCGACCATGAGTACACATGATGCAGTTCTCACTGACATCTCCCACGTTGACGCTGAGGGCTATATTGAGCCCCCCCCCAGAGTGCGCGGGAGAGGCCGAGGTTTTGGTCGTGGCGGACGTCGCGGCAGAGGTCGAGGTGCGGGCAGAGGCAGAGGTCGAGCTCCAGCTGTAGATCCTGATACAGTTGCACCAGATGATGGAGTTTCACAGCTCACAGCAGTATCCGATCTTCCGCCACAGCCAGGATCAGGGGCAGCACATGCAGTAGAGGGGGAGTCACAGTCACAGGCTCCACAGGAGCCAGATATTCAGAGAGTCTACCGCAGGAGACCGAAGAGAGAGGTCCACGGTCGGGGTTGTGGGACTGGGGGCAGGTTAGGGCATTAGCGGGTGTGATGTGGAGTGTATAGTTTATTCGTTTTAGTTGTCTTCTTCATTGTATATGTTTTGAGTTCACGAGCAAAATTTAATTTATTTGTCGTCATTGTAGTTTATCTGGCAGCCTTACGCTGGGGTCCTCGATACGCTCCCCGACTACTGCCGACTGGGTCAGGAGATATGGATGGCGAGAGTGCCACTTATTTGTTTTGACGTGGTTGAGTGGCATCTCCCCCATCTTGTCCTCCGGCAGTTTGGTCGGGTGCAGTCCGTGCCGGATCGGTTCGACACTGAGTGGCAGTTGTACGTCACTGATAGGCGTGGCCGAGCTGGCACTGACTGGCGTCTGTTTTTTATGCGATATATACAGTTGTGGGATGCCCGCCGGGACAGTATTGTACAGGCTGACTACAGCGATGACGTGATCCCCTCTTCCGACCCTTACATGTTGTGGTATCGGCGACATACACACCTACTAGTCGGGAATCCGAGCCACGTGTCTGAGTCTGGATATCAGGGAGTTGGCCCTTATCTTGAGGCATTGGTGAGTATCATATTATGTGTCAGATAATTATTAAAATCATACTTGATTTACTTTCAGTGAACTGTAGCCTAATAATACGTCTGAATGTTTGTTCAGGTGGCTGGAGCTGGGAGGTCGTTTCACTTGGCTGAGGACGCCCATTTGAGACGTGATGCACAACATGCCTTGGAGGCCATTGCAGAGATCTGGGAGTTATTGTACCAGGCATTCCAGCTTGCCCATCGGGGAGATCGTTTGCATTTCGGCCACTACGGTGTACACACTTCAGCAGCTGTTCCAGACACATCAGCGCCGTCCACGTCAGCGCCTTCCACTTCAGCGCCTGCCACATCAGCTCCTTCGACCCCACCACATACTACCCCATACATATCTACAGATTCCCTCGACGTACTTCTTACGCAGCATACTGGCATACCTTATGTGCTTGACCCTGATTGGACACCGCCCTGATACATGCATGACGTTGTTACCCCACCCACCCAATTACCACCACCAGACTGTTCGACCGCGACCATGAGTGCACATGATGCAGTTCTCACTGACATCTCTCACGTTGACGCTGAGGGCCATATTGAGCCCCCCCCAGAGCGCGCGGGAGAGGCCGAGGTTTTGGTCGTGGCGGACGTCGCGGCAGAGGTCGGGGTGCGGGCAGAGGCAGAGGTCGAGCTCCAGCTACAAATCCTGATACAGTTGCACCAAATGATGGAGTTTCACAGCTCACAGCAGTATCCGATCTTCCGCCACAGCCAGGATCAGGGGCAGCACATGCAGTAGAGGAGAAGTCACAGTCACAGGCTCCACAGGAGCCAGATATTCAAAGAGTCTACTGCAGAAGACCGAGGAGAGAGGTCCACGGTCGGGGTTGTGGGACTGGGGGCAGGTTAGGGCATTAGCGGGTGTGATGTGGAGTGTATAGTTTTTGTATATCAAACTTGTACAGATGATGTAAATGTGTCATACTTATTTCTTCGAAAAATATAATTTCACAATTTTTTATTCTTACTTGTTTTGATGATTTCCATAAAAATGAAAACGAAAACAGGAAAAAATGATAAGAATTGATAGGATTTTATGATTAAATGAGATTGGAGGACCACTTGTGTTGCTACAGGTTTGTAAAAATTTTATACAACAAAAATCTGGGAAAAAAATGTGAACATTGCATAATGGATAGTTGTGGGGAGAGCTCATTTCTTGCTTTTGCCGACTAGAGAGAGAGAGTTAAGGGAGAGAGTTAGATTTCACCTCTTTTGGCTTGGTTTTGCTTGGAAATATTACTTGAACCGGTGTAATAATTTGGATTCTTTGTTTTTTCCTCAGATGGTATGTGACTTTGTGCAGCGATGCAGTGATGCATCTGACTTTGTGCAGCGATGCATGTGACTTTGTGCAGTGATGCAGTGATGCATGTCGCTTTATGCAGTGATGCAGTAATGCATGTGACTTTCTGACTTTGCCATGCTTATATAGTTTGTCACTTTTTTCCTCACAATACGTGATGCATGTGACTTTCTGCAGCGCAAGTAAATGCTTTATTTTTTTTATCACATTGCAGAATATACAAAAAGAAACAAAAAATGCAAACAGGAGAAAATAGGATGACTGTGAAGTTCATTAAGTGAAAATAAAATAAAATATAGGTTGTTTATGAAGAAAGAAAATTTAAGGATTTAATTTCATTTATAATTTTTTGAAAATACCAATTTGTACTGAAATCGTCAATTCCAAGTCACTACTTACTGTAGTAAAAAAGTAAGCATGAAAAAATAGTTTCATGGGGCGATGTGACAACTCACTACATATTGTTTTATTTGACAACTCACTGCTTCAATATGAAGGGATTGCAGTGTCATCCTCTGTCCTACAATGATGACTTTATCTGACAACCACGTCTGTGACTACATCACAGGTACACAAAATCACGGGTACTCAGGATTGTATGAAATGAAAAGCTAAAAAATAATATCACGGGTATCACTTCTTCCACAGTGCCCCAGCATGCATTATCGTCACTAGATCATCTCTAGTTAACCCTCAGTATGATGTCTATAAATAGCGACAACCCCAGTATGATGCTTGTTCAAGTCATAACAATAGTAATATATCTACAATTACTATTATTATTTGTTTGTTTATTTCAGGAACAATGTCTTCAAGAGGTGCAGGAAGTTCACGCCAACAAAGAAATCCGAAAGTGTGGCTGCTACCTCCATTTAGTTATGACTACAAGAGCGAAAAGTACTCGAGTCCGAAGGATTATTATGCTGGTATCCGAGCAGAATGGGCGTTCAGGGTAACGGAGCAAGAAGGATTGTTTAATGATCTACGTAACTTTGGGGCACCGGTACCTCATCGTCGTTCATTAACCATGGCTAGACAAAATGTCAGTGACTATGAAAAAGCAGTTAGTAGAATTAAGAAGGAGAACAACAGAATATTGATGCGAAGATGTCGACATTTCATGCTTCAGCTAGCCACCGAAATGGCAGAAGCAAGCAACAGAGATTTGAAAGTGATTGAGCGAAATAATGTCTTAAACAATGAAAAATATCTCTCTGACTACTACATGTCAAATAAGGAATGAGAAATCAAACACCTTTATCTTTCATATATATTTGTATGTTGTCTGGAGTGTAAGACAATGTTGTTGTTCATCTAACGTACGGATGTATTTGAAATATTTGTTTAATGAACCTGAAGTTTATGAAATAACTACATTTATAACAACACATTTATTAGTTCATGACTTTCTTTATTGAATTGCAATGAGTTAATGAATGTTCTGGATTAACAAATGGATTAATGTATGTTGAATTATGTGAATACTTAAAACACATAAAACAGAACAGGTAGCTCGGTGAAAAGCTTCCCTTAACTGGGGCTCGTGAAATAGAGATCCTGTACGTAAAGAATTTCAATCTCCATCGAGAAAGAAGACAGAGTCGCCTTCCAATTCCGGGAAGTCCAGGCAAAATGATGACTCTAGTAAGCAATTTAAGGGGGTTGACAGAAAACTAAACTTTGGGGACTGGACAAACAACCTCAAAGCCAAGTGGTTGGTCCAGTTGGGGGACTAATAAAGTTCAGACAAACGAACTACCGCTTTCAATAACACATAAAACATAACAGGTAGGTCCGTGAATAGCTTCCCTTAAC